AAAACGCATTTATAATACCAACTATTTGGGATTTTTTTATACTTGATAGGTCAACGTTTGGCCACCATCTCGCCTGGTGGTAAGAGATCATGTGGCTGACTTCATAATGTTATGTTATATTACTTGGGATATTATGTTCTGCATTATTTTTATTTATTTAGTGAAAAGCTAATGCGTTTTAAGCTATCAAAGTGAGCCTTATCTGATAAGTGGTTGCTATGCCTTTTATTTAAGCTTCGATAAATACGAATAAAACGAACGAATATTTTTAAATGACCTAAATAGAATTTCGGACGGTGTTCGTGTAACGCTACGAGGAGGTACCAATACTATTAAATTTTCATTTTAGTCGAGCGTCAATATTGTCGAATTTTGCAGGCGTTAAAAAATGTACGCCATCTTTTTATTGGAAATGTTATTAAAAATGAAGTTAGGAATCGTATGACACAATATTTTTATAACAGATTGTGTTTTGGTGAAACTAAAAAATAAATATTTTATTCTATGAACAGAAAATAGGCACATGTTATTTTTTCCCGAAATAACTAGTAATTTTTGTCATGAAAAATTCAACCATAGTAAATAAATGTTTATTTTAAACTGAGATACATACAAATTCGTTAATTTCTTGTACAGTTTTATAATAATAGACTTGACAGAACATACTATAATTATTTGTCCTACGATATTATACATTTATTTCCTTTAGAGCTGCTCAGACTGCCTCGTTGGCCGAGTGGTCGTAAGTGCGACTTCCGGGCAAGGGGTCTCGGGTTCGATTCCCGGGTCGGGCAAAGTATTACTGGGTTTTTAAATATTCTCAGTAGTAGCACGGAGTCTGGAATTGTGCCCGGTATATGGCAATAGGTTCACCCCCTATTACATGGGATTCATAACATAAATAGTGAAAAGTGGGTGTTACATTGTACAGTGCTATAATATACACCTCTGCCTGCCCCTTCGGGGATAAAAGGCGTGACGTTATGTATGTTCCTTCAGAGCCACGCTTCTAATCGTGTACACTCCACATAGCGGTCAACTAAACCCTACACCGAAACGTGCAAAAATAATCACACAATACCCTCACCTTTACCTACGTTTTTCTTTAACATTATTGTTCGGAAAGTGTTCAATTTCTTTTACGACTGCCTAATTTACCAGCGGCTTCAGAAGCGATTGTAATAGCAGATAAACTTGTACTTGGCATTAAAAGAAAAGCAATCATGACTTGCACGCGATGTGCGAACTGCGAACTATCGATGGTTGGTTATATGGTTTTAGGGTTTAGTAAAAAAGGAGTTACTAAAAGATTAGATCAGAGCATAGAGTGCTGTTGTCGTGTTTTGTATTAGTTCTACGTAATGGAAAGACTATTACTATAGACTGAGCTTATAAATAGGTTTCTGTGTAGTTTTTGTGATCACAAATATTGACATTTCTTACTTTTATCCCCGTGTTACGTCAAGGTATTTTACAAGTACTAGGCATACAAAAACGACTGCACGGTTGGTGCGGTGGCTGGGCAACCGTCTGCCGAGCAACGTGTCGCGGGTTCCATTCCCGCACGGAACAACACTTTGTGTGATCCACAAATTGTTGTTTCTGGTCTGGGTCTGATGTGTATGTGAACTTGTATGTTTGTAAACGCACCCACGACACAGGAGAAGTCCTAGTGAGGGGCAAAGTTTTTTTATTTTTAAAAATAAAAAAAAAAATTAAAAAAAGCACTTTCTGGGTCTGGACTGGAACTTCTTTGAAATACGAGAACTAGAATCCGACAAAGATTTGTTAATATTTTTTAATTGCAATGATAGATGCCCATGAATTTATTTGAATAAATAAAAAAAATAAAATAAATACCTGCTAACCTTTTATCAGCAAGCTAAACCGTAGACCGAATATGTATCTGGCAAAAATTGTGTCTACTGAAATAAGTACTCCTGGGGTGTTTCTAAAGATTATTTTTTGTAAGCACTTTCAGTTTAAACAACCCCTAATTGACCCTTTGGGAAATAAAAAACACGCCATTCTATCTACTTGAAACATCAATTCCCTAACAAATCCATCTTAAAGACATCCCAAAGTTCCCCATTCCTTAAGCCTCAAGTTGTCCACAGTAATATATCTTGCACCAATACAAGGTTACATTAAATTTAGCACAATCGTCGATTTCAAAGCAATTTTATCCAACTTCAGAACCAGCATTATAATAAAATCAAAGTGAAGTGAGTGAGCGCGATACTTTTGTTAACACGTAACAGTGAGTTGGCTATAAATTTTCATTGAAACCAATCGATATGTGGTCTTTCAATAAGTCAAGTTAGGTCTGTGGTATTATAACATACTTGCTACTTCCGCGCGGTTTCACTCGCTCTGCTCGGCACCTATTAATCGTAGCATGATATTTTATAGCCTATATAGCCTTCCTCGATAAATGGGTTATCCAACAGAAAAATAATTTTTCAAATCGGACTAGTAGTTACGGAGATTAGCGCGTTCAAACAAACAAACAAAAAAACAAACTCTTCAGCTTTATAATATTAGTATAGATATGGATCTTCCAATCCTATTCACTAACATAAGTAGTCCTATTATGGATTTTCTAAAGGGACTTTCTTGTCCATGCTCGCCAGGTGAACTGAAGATTGATATTTAAAAAAAGCACTAAGTAGCATTTACGATGACTCGAATAAACAAAAAACGTTTTATTATATTGCAATATCAATTATAGTGGTACTTAATTCTTCTTCTTACTTCAAAAAGTAGAGATCTTGTAGATTTGTAGCGTCAAAACGACCAATAGATAAAATACTGCTACGAGCTCTGTACTATGTAAATTAATAAGCGCAACAATGAAGGTTGACTATATGTATACCCAGAATAGGTACCTACGTTGAAAGTTATGAATCATAACTATAACCATTACTTAATATATTCAGTCCTACATACATACAAATGTAGTATAGCCATCAAAATATAGTTGTAATAGTAGATATTTGTGTTTGAATTATGATCGATGTTTACTGTGACATGTAGGTACTAGTTGTTTACGGTGTTGTAGTCAATGTTTTGAAGAGTAAACTTCCATGTTTAATACTTAGATATCAAATCATTTCATTCCTTAGACGAATAGATAGATAGTATCATAGTAATAGTAGATATGTATACTAACAAATCACCAGCCAAGTTAATAGACACATTGAAATCGAAGTTATTGCCAAACACACCACTATTCTACTTCGTGCTTTCTAAGGCAATTTGAACTTTAGCCCATTAACATAGATTACTATATAGAACATAGATTTCTAACATAGATTACTAACATAGATTACTAACATAGATTACTGTATGTATATTAACATGGATTTTGTGGATCTGTTGCCTGTTTTCTATAAATAACAGATGCTTTAGAATAGAAAAACCACTCAAGCGTACCACGAAACAATCGTAAAACTAAACATTGCTATTTAAATTTTCTAACCCTCCACCGAATACCCCAACAAAAAAAGTAATCTTCAATTAAAAGCATCAATAGAAACCCACAAAAAAAAAACAAAAAAATAATGTACAAAAAAGTGTATTTTGTTTTACTAGTCCAGTTTGAATATCTTTGAAAGATTCGAAGGGTAACAGGGTGTGTTATAATGGAGAGAGGTGAGCGTAAAAATGTATGAATAATACAACAAAAGGAATGTACCAAGGATCATTGCCCGTCAGAGGCGGACGGTCGCATTTTAAATTATTCGAGCGAGAGTGATATTACTGCTTATTTCTGTATTTTCATTGACATAGACGGAATTTGATATGAGTGTGGTGTGGAATAGTGGACGACAGGTCAAAATATTACACTTAAAACCTACTTTTTTTGCTGATGGCATCTCTTTGACTTAGTTCGTGTATGAGCAGGATGTTCTCTATGTCACTCACACGAGTAATAACTTTGTTTTCTCTAATTATCTATTTACTGAATTTCATAGAGAAACCCAAAGATCTTGAAAAACAACACCTGTGTTATGTAGCCATCCTCTTGGAATAAATAGCTACAGAACACACAATATAGTTACAATGAAAAACCAAGTTAGTTAACTTGCGAAAACCAGATCCCTGTTCAAGATTCTTTAAAAAAAATGTGATATATTATTCACAATTTAATCATATAAAAACGGGTTACTTCCTTGTTTGAAACACAATATCATTTTCAACAACATCCATACTTTAAAACAAATTCTGAAACCTCACTAATGAATTTTTAAAACAACACCGAGAACCGAGTTTTAAATTTCGTTTCGAACTTTGTGAAAAGAAAAAAACTGAACTTTTACAAAGAACTATGGTTCTTGGAACACAGATAACATAAAGTGTTAAACTTTTTTACGTAAAGAGAAAACGCAATGAATAATAGAGGCGGGATTTGCCGCAGGAGCCTTTGTATTACGCACTGGGTCGTGGGTACCTACAGTGGGGGTTAAAGGGTTGACTCTATAAAATTTTGATTTCATTTTTTTACGGCGTATAATGCTACTATTTACTGCTAGCCTTTAAGGTTTTTAATTCTACCTGTAGAAACATAATGACTCAAATGGATCTTTGTCTATACATACCTACCTAATTATTGTATCGATAGATGTGTAATAAAAAGGGCACGATACTACATGCGTTGACACAAGACTGCAATAACAGTAACCTAAAATCAATGCCATCAGTTTTAAACAGAATGTCTATAACTTTATTGTTGTTGGGGCAACGTTTAAAAAAATGCATAGGTATATCCATATTTTTTATGATATACAGTTTATACAGAAACTTGCACTTTATTACTGATTCAAAACTCATTGAACTAAGATAAAAACTAATTTAAATTATATTCGTTTGAAAAACAATAGGTACCTAGCATAAATGTGAATATATGGTATCTAAAATTTAATTATTCCACAAAGAAACCACATTAGTTTTCACTCCAAAGATACTATAAAAAAATATTATTTCTCATTTTCAAATAGAGCCACCGTGGATCTTCACCAGCAATACGCACATTCGCCCCTGATGGCCGGACGTTAGAGGCGGGGGCGTGTGGGGCTCCTCGTTCCCCCTCACCGCTTCGTGCCGCTTCGCTCGACGTACGCGCAGCACCGCTTGCACACGGATCCTTGGCATCATTGGCTGATACTCCGACACCTTCAAGTCCAAGGCACGCACCACCACGATGCCTGTCGCCGCTTCTGATGCCACCGAGGTTTGTATTTTTGTCGTATCTGTCGATTAATGTGCGACACAATTTTACTTCCCAAGGCGAAATTTTACCGGAGGTGGGTAAAAAATATATTGAATTTTTTTTTATAATATTTTAGATATATACATAGCCTACATTACGCTCCAGCTGTTAAACAATCTGACACGCCATATAATAAGGACAAATACATATTCCTATTCAAAAAAATTTTGATGGGTATTAAAAATATATAAGTAGTATTAGGCCACCCAAGGGCACATCAAGTCTATTGTGGGATTAATAGAAGGTACGCCTAAAATAACTTAGTACCGAGGCATGAATGGTAAGTCCTAATTATCAAGATTTGACAGCCTCAAAGGTCAGTTTCAAACTTGGACGTATTGATTTAGTCTGAAGGCCTTTATAAAATAAGGCCAAATATTAAATCTATTTGATTAGACCTACGGATCATTGTATTTAATTCATAACGTACCTATTTATAGACTACAAATTCGATAGAGGCCTGAAAATAAAATTAGTCAAATGCTCTTCTCATGTTCATTATACATTTTTTCATTTCCTCACTAAAAACTGGTCACATATAGGATCGTTGAAAAAAAGCTAGACTTATTGTCACTTAGATATGATTGAAGCACCAAAATGATGAAGCACCAGTGGTGTAGGTATTTATGTGTGCGTGTAACACCGTAATATATGAAGTACATATAATGACGGGCCATGTCACGCGATAGATGTGCTTCGTGTCAAAGTGTGTGTGTGTAAGTCTATAGTAGCCAGATGCCACAGTCGTTGTTTCGAGAGACTATGTCTACCTTTTTCAACGTCCTTGATCACATAGGAAATCCAGTTTCAATCGGCCATACTGTTTGACTATACAGGAAAACATAATACGTTCAATAATAAAAATGGACAAAATATGACACCCACTAAACTGCGCCAAACACGTGCGTTGAATCACAATGAAGCCTTTCTGGAAGTTGGAGTGTACCAGTCGATTGATTTAGGTAACTCGAATAGTCTATCTACACATTTATTTATTAACCTTCCTATTTCGTAACCACATTAATATATGAACAATATTCAAGCTCATTGAGCCGCGCACACGAGAGGAATCGATAGACACCTCATTCATTAAAATTCATCCAGCCGTATGAAAACTTTTGGGACTAAGAGACCCGCATATCGTATTTTCTATAGCAGAACAACATCTGTGCCTTATGCGTATGAAGATTGTATATCTTACATGTTTATTGTTTGTAGGTATAGGTACACTTGTGTAACAGAAAAGTTACTGAAGGAACAGAAACCAACTTTAGTTTTAATTCTCTAAGTAGGTCAGAAATGTGAACTAACTTGGCTTATGTTTATTGATAACTCAACATAAGTAATCTACTTACATACTTTGTTAGTTTAATGTTTGAAACTACACCAATTTTTAATTTCTTTTCGACTTTATGTCCTAGCTAGAAAATGACTTTAAAAATGGCCAATCTACATATCAATCATCAAGCGCGCGTCAATATTGATTGTATTATAATCTGAAAGAGATAAAAACAAAAGAAATTCAATCAAGACCCGCAATTCAAATGCTAAGCAGACGAAATTCGAAATGGAGATTTGCGAAACCACGCCATGAGTGTACGGTACAAATAAAGCGCTAATTAAAGCGTTTCCCTTCATTTGCAGCGCTGCGGAGTCAAAGCTCTAATCTTGTCGCACCACTTATACATTCACACATACATATAAACTGAATTATTACGCTTTAACGCTTCAACCATCAAATATTTAGCGTAGTATCAGTGTTATATACTGCGTAAGATTTCACCCCTGACCTTTACTTCAGCTTTGCCACTTCATTTCAGCAGTTAAAACTCACGAGGGTATCAAATGACCTTTCAAATTTTGACTTTTCTATTCCGTTGTGTTTTGTTAAGCCTTTTTAGTAGCGCCTACGTGGTACAATTCCAGGGTTTCACTTACATTGTCGTATAATGGATATATGTATATTTAATTTGAATTTTTTAGGCTGAAGTATGTATCTTTTTATGATGTAAAGAAGCAAGCATTTTTTTGCTTTAGACAGGCAGGCACGTAAAGAAAAATGGTTCGATATTTAAACAATCAGGCAAGTTTGCAACCGACTTCAAAAAAAAGGAGGAGGTTTTCAATTCGACTTCTAACCTGTCAGTGGGTGTGTAAGCTATAAGTACGTATGACCAATAATAGTACTTTTTACTTTTTAGTTTTTACTTTTCGTTTGTTTTTTTGTTTTTGAAGTCGGTTTTTTAACGCAGTTTTTTATTTTTATTTTATAGTTTTTAGTTTATTTAGTATGCGGATAAATATTGACTCAGTACAGAAACAGTTATTTAATACAAAATTAGTATTTCAGCTAACAAATGGTAGACAATAATATCTCTTTACTGAATCTTTATTGTCACTCATGCAAACTCAAGTCATGCTGAGTGTACGAGTCAAACTCACGTCTATAACAATCACAATGTATAGATGATTCGATTGTTGTTTTCCTTAGTGACGTCATACAGCAATTTTGTATGACGTCAGCTAGCACCCAATACCTTGTGCAAAAGACAGCCACATATGGGTCAAGACTCCCACTTCATTAGCGCAGGAGTCTAGTTGATCGACCGAGTCTTCAATTACAATGCACTGTTCCATTGACCTAATTAAAATATGTACGTAAATATTATTTCTATTGAAGCTTTTTTTATTGCAAAATTATATTTTTTATAGCAAAATATTGGTCGTCTTTCATTGTCTACATCCCACCAACATGTTTGCATATAAATTGAATTACCTAGTTTCGTTCATTGATGTTATCGGGATTAAAAGTTGATAACGTAACATAACATCACGCCTTTTACGCCAGGCAGAGGTGCATATTATGCCACTGTACAATGCAATACTCACTTTTCAGTATTTATGAGTCCCAAGTAATAGGGGTGAGCCTATTTCCATATACCGGGCACAATTCCAGACTCCGTGCTACTACTGATTTTTTTTAAAAAACCCTGTAATACTTTGCCCGACCCGAGAATCGAACCCGAGACCCCTTGCCCGGCAGTCGCTCTTGCGACCACTCGGCCAACGAGGCAGTCAATATTAAAAGTAGATAACCTGCGTTATTCCAAATTACAATCAATCTCTGTTCCGAATTGCATTCGAATCCGGTGAGTAGTTTTTGTGTGTATGAGCTACACACAAAGATAGACTGTGGCAGACACACCTTTTACGATACCATACATTCTCATATCCTTTCTCATTTATAATATTAACAGGAAGTAGAATAGCATCGTCATTTTTTCGAATTTGCACCTTAATACACATACATAAAACTCTTTATTCACCCCAAATGCGATTCCTTTCCAAGTAGTCTTGCAGATTGCTGTCTAAAGGGAAACTATCTTCCCTCTCAACGGTTAGACGCGTGCAAAGTTAGTAGGAAACTAGATGAAGGGGGATACTGAATTACGTATTCAATACTTGAAATCTCTTCCAGCTATCGATATGTATGCCTAAAGTTCTTAGTTCGAAGCCTGTTTTTAACTCTTAGAGTAAAGACTGTCATAGATCTGATAGCCTAGTGACTGTGAACCAAGTTTATCGGAGATTAATTTAGTTCCTACGGCATTGTTGTTAAACTCTTAGTTAGTCTTTGAAGCCATTTTGAATGTTTAAGATGGATTGGTCTTCGTTTAAGATGAAATTAATATGAAAACTATTGGATAATTTGTCTTAGTTTGTCGTTAGATGCTGTGTTTTTTATCCTTAGGTACTTATTTCATGTTAAAAACAATCGTGTTTATAATTTCATTTTATGTGTTAATTATTATATTTTTCTACTTACTCACGTAATTATTTGACGAGGAACTGGACCAACATAATCATTAATTTAGTATCGCCCGAATACTGAAAGATTACTCAATTTTAAGTTGTACTTAAATATAGTGCCATCTCTGTCATTTTACAAAGAATTTGTTGAGATAGAACTATACTTAAGCGCGACTTAAAATTGAGTATCGTTTGAGTATTTCGACATATGTATATCTCACGAAGGTTATAATATAAATTCATGAATGTGCATTCATTATTATGCCGGTCGTCCTTTGAAATAAAGAAGATTCAAAATAATTTAATAGAAATTGTCACTACCTCTTGTACCTACAATAGTCCTTGTGATCATCATCAAGCATCAACAGTCTATAAATGGCCTATGCTAACCAAAGGCCCCTTCTCAATAGTCTATGTTACTATATGCACCATTGAGAAGAGATTTAGACTGGTAAATCTAAACCAATCTCGACAACGTATTCACAATTCCCAGAATTGCAATATACAGCAAAATATCCAACACAGAGATCCGATTGAGAACGGACGATGTATATTTGAATTCGCCAAAGTGCTGTCTATTCCTGCGGTTTCTACCTCTAGTTCCGGGGATGCAGACCAAGTCACTGTCAGTTGCTCGGAAATGGTCGGAAGCATTTAGTCTACGGGCAGTTCATGGAACAATAGTGAATGGAGTACCGATACTTGATATCATACCAAGACTTGATACTGTAATAGTTACGAGCTAATAAGTAAGAGGATTGGTAAGCTGGAGTTGCAGCGGTTTTGGGAGTTTGTGGCGGACTTGTCCCTAAAAAAATAAAATAAAAAGAGGATTGGTAACTAGTAATCAAATAACTGTGTATGTGTTTAAAAAGCAAAAGAGTAAAAAAACAATGATTAATTGTTGCTGACGTCACTGGTATTGCTGAGCTGTTTAGGCAACACTTTGTCGTAACGTCTCCGTTGGGGCCATCGCAGTCTGCGTGTGATATGGACTGGACTGGTCGACAGACATGTATCCGCTTTAGAGCCAGAGAGATAAGGCAAGTTATTATGTCCATGTCAAGGGGTAAGTCTCCCGGCCACGATAATCTAAGTATCGAGCATCTGAAACATGCGGGTCGTCATTTGCCTAGGGTGTTGGCAATGTT